AACCACTTGTACTACTATTCCTACTTCATGGTTTTTCACTTATTGCGGGTCTTCAGGGTACGGATCCCCCACGATAAACCAGGGACTACTGTATAAACATTTAGAATTGGAGAAAATGTAACATGTACTTCTTATTTTAAAATGTCCACATTTGTCTTTTTGTGTTAGGTGCTGGGCAGAGAAGTTTACACATCCAACAATCAGCTTGGTGGCATTCAGATCATGCACAACAACGGGGTGACCCACAGCACTGTCAGTGATGATTTTGAGGGAGTCTTTACTTTGCTGCAGTGGCTCTCCTACATGCCCATGGTAACAATATCCATGTGATACATCCACTCATCCAAATGCTAGGAGCGACATTGAATTTATTTAAACTAAAATGATGACATGATGTTTTTTCCCAGTGTATGTCTAGCCCAGTGCCCATCCTGTGTGCTAAGGATTCCATAGATCGTCCAGTAGAGTTTGTGCCGACCAAGGCTCCTTATGACCCTCGCTGGATGTTGGCAGGACGTCCCAGCCAGAGTGAGTTTCTGTCTCAGTGATTAGAAAAACATGCTGCTCATTTTGAGTTCAAGTTGTGATTAAATATTAGCATGTGGCTTAGTAGAGAAAATCTAGTTTGTACATCTACGGTGAAGGACATAAACATCTCAAGCTGATGGTGATTGCCTTTTTGCAAGTCTAACAGTGTGTGGGGGCTTTGTCTTAATATTTGTTTTAAGAAATGCAAACATACTCATGTGTATTCAGTTCTTGAACTAATTTATTTTAAAAAGAATTATGAACAGATATCGAAATGTCCTATATCACACTTTATCTCTGACACAGAGCCTGGATCTAACATCTCAGTATTTTTGCATAAAATATATACCAACATGTTGATTCAAATGCATTGTTCTATATGGAACTTTACATTATTAACTGAAGAGAACGTATAAATATAAATTAAATGTAGCAATTTTTTCATTTTGTATCAGGCAGCTGCACTCGTAAATTATTAGATTTTCTTTCTGTGGTCTAGTTTTAAAAGATCTTTAATAGACGTGACAATACAACAACAACAAAAACGATACCTGTAATTGAAACACCCAAAAAGACCTTTCAAAACCAGACACGTAAAAAACACATTTTCTGGTTGATCATGTTTGTAAAAAAAAAAAAACTAAAAACAAAACATAAAATTAGTACTAATGTGAAAACCAAAGACATAAGTCTACATTGTGAATCAACAATAATCATATTACTCTTAAAAAAGAGCCACCTTTTTCTCACTACAGTAAATGTCAAAGTCAAAAGTCAAAGTTTCTTTATTTGTCATTCGCGCCACATGTGGTATATGTGGTGGAACGAAATTGTGTACACAGTGTCCCAGTTACATGTAACAAATGTGCAGTACTTGTGGTGATTTCTGTAGTAGTACGAGTAGTAAGTAGTAGTTTATTTTAGTTTATATATTTTAGTTTAGTAGTATATATATATATATATATATATATATATATATATAAAAATATATATATATATATATATACACTCTTGCACTATTCTAAAAAAAATTTCTAAATTCTAAATGCTCTAAAAGAGCACAGAATGTCATGATTTCAGCTCTCTGCCTCCAAATGCTCTCTCGGCCACGCCCACTTCTCCGCTCTGCACGGATATCAGCTGATCTCTGTGCAGAGCGAAGATCAGCTGATCAGCTGCAGGAGGAAGCTTCTCCCACAGCTGTGGGCTGCACACAGGTGCTAAATTTAAAATAATTTATTTTAAATAGAAATTCCATGCCACTTGTGTGGCTCATCCATCAATCAGCCAATTGTGTGTCATGTCTAATCTTTCTTTGAAAAACCACGATGGAGCAAGTCTGTGAAAAGCGAACTGCGACGTAGCGAGGGACTACTGTATTCTGCTTTGCTACTGATTCACTTTATTCAGAGAGATTTAAAAAAAAAAAAGCTTAAACATAGCTATGAACTATGTGGTTGCAATCTATTAATTTAGTATATTTCACAAGGGAAAAATCCATCATTCATGGATATACATTTGAGACATTACCCACCCCTGTTTTGACTTTGAAGATAATATACGTAGAAACCTTAATTTTTTTTCTCTTTTAATTATCAATAGTGCTTTTTCAGCAATTGTTCAAAGTCACAGCCCCCGTCATTTCAGCCTGACATCCCAACAGTAAAAGGGTGGAATAATTCATCAAAAGAAATAAACTGTTAAACAATTAAAAAAAATAGCTAGTAAAGTTGTTAAAGCACAGGTCATGCCAAAAGTTGCCGCAATGAGTTTTACACTGTGGGTCAGGACTGGGCAGGGTCCACATCAGTGGACTAACAGCTTTGTTTGGCAAAAAGATCAAGGCAAGTCTGTGTGGGAAGTCCGTCATCTCTGGGAGCGACGAATGTCTAGGCTTAGCTGAACAGTAACCTCAGAGCCTGGGCATGTTTCTCAGGGTGTGCAAGCAGAAAAAGAGCTGAGCGAGGCTGCTTATACAATCATCCATCATGACTGCTGCCAAGATTACAGATTTTGAACAGAAAAAAAAAGAGGCTAGACTAAATGTGAAGTCAAGTCAGGAGTTATAGAAATATCAAGGGATGATTATTTGCTAAATTGATTCATATAGAATTTGAGTCACACAGACACATAAGTACTAAAACGTTTTGCCCTCGTCACTCTTTCTTTTTAAAAAGCTCCAAAGGGTTCCTGGCAGAGCGGTTTCTTTGATCATGGATCTTTTATGGAGATCATGCAGCCCTGGGCTCAGAGTGTGGTGGTGGGCAGAGCCAGGTACGTTCTACATCAAACAATAAGAAACATTGTAAATAATAAAGTTCTGTGTGTTGTCATCATTGTATGTATACAATGATGAAATTAGTTATCTGCATTTAACCCATCACACGTAAGATACACCACCCAGGTGGAGCAGGGGGCAGCTATGTAAGCACCCAGGGAGCAGTTAGGGATTAGGTGTCTTACTTAAGGACACCACGACATATGGGCATGGCGGGGAGTTGAACCTGTGACTTTCTGGTCCCAAGTTGGCTGCTCTACCACTGCACCATAGCTGCTCCAAAACAAAATAAAATTCATCCCCAAAAGATCTTGCATAATAAACATTAGTCTTCTAAGCTATGTTGTTATGATGGTGTCTTTGTGATATGGATGCTGCATGGCCTCTCTTTACAGACTGGGTGGGATACCTACTGGTGTTGTTGCTGTGGAAACCAGGTCAGTGGAGCTGTCAATTCCAGCTGACCCAGCTAATTTAGACTCTGAGGCGAAGGTAAGTGGTGCTCAGTGGGAACAGGTACACAGGCACTATACTTTCAGTCGACTTGTTTTTAATGCAGTTTTCATATTTATGTAGATCATCCAGCAGGCAGGTCAGGTGTGGTTCCCAGACTCTGCTTTCAAAACAGCCCAGGCCATTAAGGACCTGAACCGAGAGGGTCTGCCTCTCATAGTGTTTGCCAACTGGAGGGGTTTTTCTGGAGGAATGAAAGGTAAGGCTGCTTCCTGATAATCAATCCATATGGGATTAAACTTAGTGTTTTTCTAACCTGAAAATTATTTTTAGACATGTACGACCAAGTGATAAAGTTCGGGGCCTACATTGTGGACGGGCTGAGAGAGTACAAACAGCCAGTTCTGGTTTACATCCCCCCTCAGGCTGAGCTGAGGGGAGGCTCCTGGGTGGTCATAGATCCCACCATCAACCCTCGTCACATGGAGATGTACGCCGATAAGGACAGCCGGTGAGTTCAACCAACCAAGACGATATTGTTTACATTTAGTAGAAAATGAGCTTGAATTCACTTGAATGCTTCCTGTGTTCAGAGGAGGGGTGTTGGAACCTGAAGGAACTGTGGAGATCAAGTTCCGGAAGAAGGACCTGGTGAAAACCATGAGAAGAATAGATCCAGTCTACATGGCTTTGGCTGAAAGACTGGGTTAGTTCCTTTAATTCTAATATTTACTTCTTTTTTTTTTTGTACAGGCATCTTTTTGTCCCACCGTCACAACCTTGTCCTCATTTTAGTTGGGGGAGCAGTACATCAGGTGGGACCATGTGTGCTTTCAGCATCCTGCTTTATTTGGTGGTGATTGTGTCATCTTCACTGCACTTCCCCCGGGAGACGTGTCAATCACAGCCCCCCTCAGATCAATCACCGGCTCTCCTGCGCAGTCTATTGATTTTGGTTTGAGCCAATTCTCCATTAGGATTGGCGCTTTCGGCAGAACCGGTGGAATGGATGGTTACTGCGGAGGGCTGGAGAGCTTTCAGATTGGAATTGACAAAAAAATCAGCAAGGGGTTTGGAGGAGCTCCTAAACAAAATGCTGTCAGACAGACTTGATTCTTTGGTCTATTCTCATGTGGGATTGATGTTAATGGGATAAGGTGATAAGGAAAGGTCAACATGCTGAGGGAATGCTGTCGGAGGACGGAGTATTTATCTCAGATTTAAACTCCACCTAACATTCAGGGATTTTTTTAAGCATTTCTATCATATCTACTCAAACTGCGATCAAACCTTTATAAATACTGCAGTTTTATGAAATCATTGTTAATTTAAACTCCAACAGGAACTCCAGAACTGAGCCCCACAGATCGAAAAGAACTGGAGTCTAAGCTTAAGGAGCGTGAAGAGTTCTTGCTGCCTATCTACCATCAAGTGGCTGTGCAGTTTGCAGACCTCCATGACACTCCAGGTCGCATGCAAGAAAAGAGCGTCATCACGGTGAGAACTTTTATGTGTTGCTTCAGTAGTAATGTTCGAGAAGTGTAAAAGATGAAAAGCCCGATGGCGAGCATCAGTCTTGCTGCTGCTGCACCTGTCGAGTGAATAATGTTTAGTCTGACCAGCCTGAGAAACTCATCCTGGTAATTATCTCCTGATGACCCTGCTCGATCCCCTTTGCAACTACAGAGCAGCCTGCGGCAGCCCCATCTCATTCTGCACCTTCATACTTCCATCTTTCACACACGCACACACACACACACACACACACACACACACTTTGCTCACATGACCAGAAGGAGGTTTCGTGGTTGGATAGCAGTCAGTGTTTTATTACACATAGTACTCATATTTACCTTGACATGCCTACAGAAATCTCTCTGCTCGTTGCTTCTTAAAAAACATCTTCAGGTGTTTGTGACCACGTTATTTAGAGTTTATATTTCATCAATACACATTTCTGCAGGCTTTACACTTCCATCTACAAAAATAAGGAAAAAACAGACCCTTGCCTTTATTATACCGAAGGCTATATTATTATTTTTTTTGTCAAAGCAGAGTGATAGTAGGCCTGTCACGATAACACATTTTTGCTGGGCAATTAATTGTCTTGGAAATTATTGCGATAAACGATACTATTGTTTGAAATTTGACAATAATTAGTAATTATTGTAAAATTTAAGAAGAAATGTTGGTCAATTTGTTTTGTATGTAGTACCTTTTGTGACCACGGGATGGCAGTATAAGACTGTTTGAAAGAAGGATAGATAGTGAGGGAGCGAGCAGCGTGTCTCTTTAAGAAAAATGGGAGGGAGCCCCTTGACGTGACATAAATGGTCTCTCTTTCCTTTTTTCAGTTCTCAAACTGGCGGACGCTCTGTGTGGTTTGAGCTCTTTAGCATAACATTTTTCACACAAAGCTTTTAATAAAAAAATCAGTAAATAAGTTCTCAGCTTCTTTTTGCAGAGAAAAACAACTTTTTACATGAAGGCGCGGGTTTCAACTGTGAATTTTTGGAACTTTGACAAGACGGAGCTTTTCCCCAAGGTCAGCCTGTTAGCTTAGCTCGTAGCTTAGCTTCTCAGCTTAGCTGCTTTTAATGATCCAAAAGCACAATTTTGGATGGTTAAAATGGATTTTAAAGAGAAAAGAGAAAGGGGGGGGGGGGTCAGTGAAGAACACTGGAGTTGAGTGTTTTGTCATCCAGTGTCTTCAGTAGAAAGAGAGAGACACGAAGAAACGATGAAGCCGATGAATGGAAAATAAAGTAGATAATTATCATTTATCATGCGATTAATTGATTTATTGTTTATCGCGACAGGCTTAAGTGATAGTGAAAAAAATTAATACATTTGAACGCATACTTTGATTGTCTATTGTTGTTGTTATCCACTGTTGTCATCACTTTTTGTTAAAATCAGGTCTCTCTTGTAAATGAGTCCCCGAGTCTCAATGGGATTAACCTGTCTAAATAAAGGTGGAATGAATGATACATTCACACACACCCTCCCCCGACACACACAGCCAAGAATTATACTCTGACTACTATCAGAAAACATGCACACTCTAAACATTTGATCAAGTTTGACACTGTGACACCCTTTAAGCAGATCAGCACAAAAACTATATATTTTACATTGAATTAATAATTTGGATAATCTTAACACACTAACTGGTTGCATTTTTTTTCTCTAAGGACATCCTCGAATGGCAAACGTCACGTCAGTTTTTCTACTGGCGTCTGCGGCGTTTGCTGCTAGAAGACACAGTGAAGCAGAAGATCCAAGCAGCCAACAGCGAGCTAACAGATGGACAGATCCAGGCGATGCTGCGCCGCTGGTTTGTGGAGGCCGAGGGAACCGTTAAGGTAAAACCCAAAGCACCGTTTTAACTTTTGCTGTTGAGTCTCTAGTTTTTCAGTTGCTCAGAGAAAAAAATACCATAAAAATACTATTTAGTTGGTTTAGATCGTTAGATCATCTTTACATAAATGTTTTGTTTCTTGTCATAACCAAACGAGTGTTTAACCCCAAAATACCCCAAATATCTCAAAGAGAAAATATAATCCAGCCTTTTATAGGGGAAATGTTATTTTCTCATCTTTTCCTTACAACCACTGAAATTAGTTTTGTTTAAATATTGCTTTTAAATTGTTTTATAATTAACATTTTTAATTATTCATCTTAAAACTCTGGAAGAATTTCCTCATTCAGGACAAATAAAGTTTTTCATTTATAATATACATGCATTTAGTACGACAGAGATTTAGGGTCACGCAAAAAAATAAAATAAAATAAAAGCCATAAAATTATGAGAATAAAGTCGTAGAATTACGAGAATAAAGTCAAATAAAGTCTTAATATTACAAGAATAAAGTAAAAAAATATATATACTTTTTGTTTTTATACAGCTGTCAATTTTTTTTTCCCACTTGTCAGATCCACAACGCGACCTGTCAATCAATCCAGTAGGCGTGTCAGCAAATCATTCCGAAGCTAAATGAGTTGTAATATTATCCAAACTCCGACATCATAAATCAGGGTTTACTGCATTTTAACTGTCATAAAATGAAGAATGTTTGTTAAACTTTATTGTTATTGACGCTGTTACTCAAAATGTGTTCCAATACTGCAACCTACTGTTGTGTTTTTGTTCGCTGCTTCTGCGATGCATAACGTGGCGTCATTACGTCATGACTTTCATTTTTGTTTCCGTTTGAAAACAGCGCTTGGTGAGAAAAACTGTGTAATCTGTGAGCACATCAGCATCACATTATTATCAATATCAGGACTTTGAACCTGTTTACAGTAAGGTTCCAGCTCTCTGCAGGTAAGGAGCATTTAGCTTCGGATTGGTCATTTGCTGACACGCCTACTTGATTGATTGACAGGTCGTGTCGTGGATCTGACTCGTGGAAAAAAAAGTTAAGGACAGCTGTAAAAAAAAAAAAAAAAAGGTCTCGTACGACTTTATTTTCGTAATTTTATGGCTTTTAACTTTTGTTTCTTAGCGTGGCGATGTAATTTTTTTTTTAGCGTGCTTCTAAAGCTCCGTTATCATTTAGAAACTTAAGTGCTAAAATTAGTTTTTATTTTTTGTGTTATTAATTTTGAAACATAGTCACTGCTAACCAGTTAATCCTGATGAGCTCTCTGGTGTTTCCCTCATGAGCCTCTCATCCTGCTGACTGAGTGTAGCTCCAACCCTTTGGACAGCAGCTGGCGACAGATGTTTTTTTTTTTTTTAATGCTGCCCAGTTTCAACAGTTTTGCATATCAGCCACATGAACCAGTTGTCCAGCAGCTGTAAGCTGTAAGACAAGGGACTCCCTATAGAGGCAGATGAATCACATTCAGGTCAGCAGCAACCTAAATAGCCTGCAAATAAGAAAACACCAGATAAGAAGGGACAGTGGTAACTGGTTAGTATCGAATAAACATTTATAGTAGAATGCTCAGTGAAAATTAACATCCCTCTAAGATGTGGTTCCTTCCTGGCCGACGGCTCGGGTTCAGACCAGCAGCTGCTGGGGTGACAGGAGCCAGCTCGCTGTTTGAGATCTCTTAAGAAAAGGCCTTGTTAGCTCATACATTACCACAATCAGGCCTGGCTGTCTTAAGCCACTATTAATCACAGCCCTGGCACACGCAGATAGCACAGCAACACACTGTTTCTTAATTAAAAGCAAACAGATTAAAAATGATTAATAAGGGCATTAAATGTTTTTGTGGACCTCAAGCATGACTGTTCAGGAGAAGTCGGAGCCTATTAACCCACCACCACCAACACACACTCGCATACACCCCCACCCCCACCCCCCACCCCCGTTACCAAATCTTTGTTAAGCCCTCCAGCCTGGCTTTGTTTGGGATCAGAAATGCCAGCACTCATGAATACTAATTTTCCTAACAGACACGGTCAACAAGACTTCAAACCCTCAATTTTCGTTTTGCTGTTATTGATATTTGTTGATTAGAAAGTCAGATTGTTGCATATTTATGTATATATGTATATGTACTGTATGGGCTATATAAATTAAAATTAGCTTCTTTGTATTTTTTTTGTTATCTTTGCTGTCAGGTCACTCTCATTCTACAAAATATAGTGGGGTGGGGGTTGTACTTTTTAAAATCATAAATAGTTTGAATCTTACTTTCTATGATTCATCCTCTGTCCTTTAAACACCCACCTTTTTTTTCATATTGCACATCCAGCTAAATATGATAGACATAAAAATAAACACCTTGTTCTGTGGCAAATGTTGAAAAGTTATACAAAATAGTTTTTAGTTATTTAAATGAATCGTTGTGAATTTTCAAGCTGGTGCTTTGAAAACAGCCCTTCACTTCCGTATATGGGCCGTCAAGAAAGGATCCGGATCAGGCGAGACGGACAGATTTTTACTGCACACCAGACTGCTCACACAGGAACAAAATGTTGGATCGATGTGTTGCACAGTTCTGTGGAAACACAGCCAAGGACCGAGTAATCATCCATTATTTCCTGAAAATCAAAAACATCCAGGACAAATGAGAGTCAAATGGACCGACTTCATTGCACCACCTTGTACCAGTGCTCTTTTTCAACTGGAAGATTATGATTCAGCAATGATGCAGGCATTTGGATTTAAGGGGAGGTACCAGACTGAGGAGAGATGCTGTATGCACCGGACCTGGGAAACTGGAAGGACTGGTCATGCAGTCCGCTCGCAGGCCTCTGTGTGCTCGTCATCTCATTCCTAGTCTAAAACGAATAATAGAGCTCCTCTTTCTCCTCAGTCATCAGAATCTGTTTTTCTCCCTCATCTCTATCTTTGAGCTTCCTTCTTCCGTGTGACGGCGCAGCTCTGTCCTTCTTACTCACTGAGTCGTTATCGCCCGCCTGACTCTCTTCAACTGTTACATATTTTTCTTCTTACTGTAGTTTTTTTTAGATACTTGACAAATAACTTGAGACCGCACTCAGAAGGGGGTGGGGGGTCAGAGATGAGTGTGTATTTTGAAGTATTTTATTTGCTGCATGCACCCGCTTCAAGTATGACAATGATTTTCTGAAAACTATGTGACATGAATTACTTATCCTAACTCTGGTTTTACTTGACCTACCAGTACAATTTAAAAACTGGTTAATAATTTAAAGTATTTTCTTCTGACACAAAGTAAAATGTCTCAGAGCAGCTGTGTGTGTACAACTGCAGCGACTGAAGTCACTCGTGTGATGTGAGAGATGCCGGTGTGTCCATCGACTCCAGACAGTGTTTTCAAGCTGAGTAGGTCCATCCAGGACTGGAGTCTTCTGGTGTTGCTACGTCTTCTTGTCTTCATGGTGGCTCGTACATGTACAGAGCAGGCCCTCCTTGCTGTGCAATAACTTCACTCGGAACAGTTCTGCTGTCTTCTTCATCACTTGCAGATAAATCATCAAAGATATTTTCTAAATCACTGCAAGTTTCTCCACTGAAATCGTCCTCACTCACATACTCCTCCATCAGGAATACACTCTCCTGCCTGTGGCTCGTTCCTTTCTTGGCGTCATCAGCCTTCAATAATCATCGGCCATGTGTTCAGATGTTTCTGTAACTGGATAGTTATATATATATATTTTTTTTTTTGTCACTTGCCTGACTTGAATGTAAAAAAAAACATATAACCATCATACTGTACTACAGTGGTTACCCGTTAAGGACACTTGGGACTATAATGGTGGGTGTTGGACTTTAACATCAATGATTCCTTCAGGCGTATCTGTGGGACAACAATGAAGAAGTGGTCGCATGGCTGGAGAGGCAGCTAGCTGAAGAAGAGGGTGCCAGATCCATCATTGATGAAAACATCAAGTACATCCGCCGGGACCACCTTCTCAAGCAGATTCGCAGGTGATCATTTTTAACAATGAAGCTTTAAAGTGGTAAAACGTCAGTAAAAGCTAACTCGTTCTCCGCCTTTGTTTTGTCCAGCCTCGTTCAAGCCAATCCCGAAGTTGCCATGGATTCCATCGTTCACATGACCCAACACATCTCACCTACGCAGAGAGCCGAGGTGGTGCGCATCCTGTCCACTATGGAGACGTCAGCCTCCTCCTGACGACCTCTTCTCCCTCTCGCTGGCTCAGGCACAGCTCGGTGCACGACCACAGCCAGGAGAGCCCCGGCTCAGCCAGCTCTGCTCTTCTCTGGGACCTGGGTTGAAGACCAAGGCAGGAGGAGCCAACGTGATGGCCCCTGGTAGCTGCCAGGTTACTGATGAACCGTTGGCAGTGATTCTCTGCAGGATTTTAGGTGATTAGCAGTAGCTATGACATATTGTAAATGACCTTTCATGTGTGTTAGTTGTCACTTAGGTATGTGAGTTTTATTTTCAAGTGCAGTTTCGTAAATGACAATGTGAAAATGCATCGAGATTAGTATTTAAAACTATTCTTAGAGTTTACAAAGAAGGCTAGAAAGGATGGGTATGCTTTCATAATAATCGCTGGCTTCCTTCCATTTTGACCTGGAGTGTTCAGTGTAATATATTTTTTAAAATGCTTTAGCTTTGATAAAATGCACCTTGGTTTGTGACATATGCTTGTTAAGATTTACAAGTGTTTTGATGATGAGCTCAACAGTGACAACACATCACCTGTAGAGTTAGCCAAAATGGTCTGACGGGTGTTGCTCGACTAAATGAGAAGCACTTAGCTACTGAACAATGGCGGGGACCACTAAAGCAGATTTTGGCCGAGGTCGCTCAGCAGGGAGCGGGGACAGGGTCCCTTTTAGACACCGACTGTTTCACAGTTACCCTGCAGCGAGCAGTGGGCATCTTGCCTCCCAACAAAACCACAGCTGTCCCTTCTGTTCTCCCACCACACATGCTGCTTAACAGGCACTTTAGTGCTTACTGTTCCCGCACACTGCAGCCAGACTCAGACCTGCACGGTTTTCACTGCTGCACATCTCCAGACAAATATGGAAACACGTGCATGCACAAAGTGACAGAAACAGTAACGCACATGGAATGAGTAAAAGCTTAAGTAAGAACGACTAATGCATCAATCTAGAGAGAAAAAAGCAGAAAAAAGACTTGTGTAGGGAGTAGTTTTAGTTGCGTTTGCACATTCGAGCACCACAATAGCTTTAGGTCTTTAACCAAAGAGACATATAAATTTATTATCAGCTAAATCAGACAATATTTATTCAGAAATAACAAATGCTGCCCTTCAACTGTCTCAACGTCTCGTTACTCGTCAGATGTGGTTCAAACACCACATGAAACTCATCCATCATTATGTTTCTATTTAAAGTCTGTTAATGAATTGTTACTTATTGTAAATAATAATTCCTTAAGGCAAAGTCTGAATCTCAAATTACTGTCATGAGTTTGTTACTAAAAGGCAAATGATAGAAAACTAAAAAAAACAAAAACTAACATCTCCATGGCTAAACAACTTTACACTGATTTGTTTCATTAGATCATTGTGTTTTTTGTTTTGTTGAAATCCTACTGGCTTTGTGGAGAGTTGTGCCTTCTCTGTGTTCACATTCACCTGCAGGCTGGTTGCTTTATAAGTAACTTCTTTTTTTTTTTTGTTGTCCGTGCGAGGATGTTTTTGAATTTACAGGGATGAGCTCTAAACGTCTGTAACTCTATTAAAGCTGATCAACTTATTCCACGTGTTTGTGTCAAAAACTTTTAACTTCTCGTCCCACTGAAGACACGTTATAACCGAAAGGAACTTTTCAAGAATTTGCACTAATTCAATTTGACAAATATTTTTCTACGTTGAGGATTCATGGGACAGATAATCACATCACAGGAAGCCTCATTAATTTCAGCAGTCAGAACAAAGTATACCAGTCCGGAGAGACGCTATCTGATTCCTTAAAAATGATCCCGTCCTTCAAATCCACAGATAATTATTAAAGTAGCATTTTCTTTCTGGGTTTTAAACTTCAACAGTATTAAGGAGGATGAAGCAGATCAAACAAATATTGAGGGATCTATCTCATCCTTTTTGCTGTTTCTTTTATATCATCCCCTTGGCTCTGTCAACTCTATTACCATCCAACCAACAAATATGTAAGACAAATTGAGTTGCATGCACCCAATACCCACCACAATTATAGCAGACCCAATAAGAAAATGAGTCATTTGGATGTATAATTGGAAATGTGCCTTGCTTGGTCTCCCAGGTCTCCCAGAGGGTTTTGCTCATTTGTGGTGGCACGCAAGGCTGGCTAATTTTGCTTTTAATGACTGACAAAATGCAGAATCAGGTTAGTCCTCAGCCACCAAAGGAAAGGAAAGAGTTTCCTAACACTTTCAAGAAATTCCCAAATTTCTAGTTTAACCATGGGGCCCCAGCTTGCGGATTAAAAGGAAATCTTATCTGCCTTCTTGATCGTCTTCAACAATTAAAGCCTTCACATCTTTATAGTGACAACTTTGGAGAGTTCTCCTAACTGGCAAACCCCGGTGACTGCCAGTTTTAGGCAATAACAGTAACGCAAATCTATGAAGGAACGGCGAGAAATCAAAAAACGAGAGAGAAAATCAATGTCTGCAGCGCAACTGAAAAGGAGGCATTAATACAGCACAGAGGCTAGGCACAATCACGCATCCGAGGCACCCATAATTCCACATTCACGCGTCTCAATGACTTCACAGCACTTGAGAGACAAAGCCTGTGACCCAGTTGCAGGATTCCAATTAGCGGGGTGTATGCAACAGTTGATATGAAAAGAGAACAGGGTCTTTACAGAGCCCCAGGGCTGTCTGATTACTGCCTGAAAACACGAGTCTTTTTGCCCGTGACAAAGACTGGAGTGACACAGAGGGAGTGCCAGGCCTCAGCTGCTTTGCCTCTCTCCAGGCTGAGGATTTTGAAGAGCTCAGCTCATCTCTGCCGTTCATGCCAGCCATTTTTTTTTTGTTTGTTTGTTTGTTTGTTAATATTTCAATCAGACTTATTAAAGTGTGACTGTAAATGCTGTGGATACGAAACTGTTAAACACTTATAATTTGGTGATGTTTGCTACAAAAATCTATTTTTCTAAGGCTCGAAAGTTGTAAAAGCAGTGTTTAGTGCTCACAGTAAGCGTTTGTCAGGGTTTGCAAAAGTAAATCATAACTTTAAAAATGAGATTTAAAACATCTTAGCTTTTTTAATGCTTATACGTAACACTTTATGCTTTGAAAGATACAAACCAAGCTAGTTTCCTAGTAAAAAATATTTTCTTTGCAAGAACATGAGATTGCAGAGAAGGCAACAAATACCTCTGGTGGTCAGCGAGGCAGTTTATCAAATGTACAGGGGTCAAAGATTACAACCTTCTGTGATAAACATGTGATGCACACTTTCAGTCGGCCTCAGCTAATTAAATATTAAAAGAATGCTCTAGGAAGGCAGAGAGAAAAGTGAATTCACAAACAGGAAAACCTGCTGTAGATGCAAGAGGAGTACCACTTCTCAACAAGATCCAAAATGTGGATGTCATGAGTTGATAATAAATTCATTTCAATTCAATTCAGTTTATTTATATAGCGCCGAGTCACAACAGAAGTCATCTCAGGACACTGAACAGAGACATTCATATACATCAAAGTAAGTTAATAACGGTGTTTATCTGAGGAGCAAACTGTTTTGAGTTTAACTACATCACGGACTCTCATCTTGAGCAAGCATGAAGGCGACAGTGGAAAGGAAAAACTCCCTCATGAGCAAGAAACCTTTAGCAGAACCGGGCTCAGGACGAGTGGCCATCTGCTTCGACCGGCTGGGTTTGGTAGGAACAGGAAGGAGGAACAGATACACAATGGCAGGCCAAGAATCACATGTTGAGAGAAATAGTATATTAATAATGTGTTATATATTGTCATCGTTGTATGTTCTCATACAGTGGCGAAATTGGCTCTCTGCATTTAACACGTCCATCCCCAGGTGGAGCAGTAGGCAGCTATTGAAAGTGCCCGGGGAGCAAATGGAGATAGGGTGTCCTGCTCAGTGACACCATGAGATGTGCAATGACTTGGGATCAAACCTGGGACTTTCGGGTCCCGGGTCAGCTGCCCTGCCTCTACACCATCTCAGCCTATCAAATGAAAACTATTCAATTTTAAAAATTAATTTAAGGGATTGAGGTCAATTTGTCCTCTAGTAGTCTAAGCTTATAGCAGCATAACAAGCCAACCCTAACTATAGGATGTATCAAAAAGAAAAGTCTTAAGCCCAGTCTTAAAACTGGACAATGTGTCAGCCTCACGGACAGAAACTGGAAGTTGGTTCCACAAGAGAGGAGCCTGATAACTGGAAGATCTTCCTCCCATTCTGCTTTTGGAAACTCTGGGAACCACAAGGAAACCTGCAGTTTGACAGCAAAGTGCTATGTTATGAAAATCTGGAGAAATAAGATATCTAATATAAGATGGAGCTAGGTTGTTGAGGGCTTTGTAGTTTAAAAGTAAGATTTTGAATTTAATTATGAATTTGAAAGGAACCAATGGAGAGAAGCTAAAACTGAAAAATAAAATGAAAGGATGTTTAAGCTTCAGGAAACCCAAAGATTTAGCTAAACTTGTCCTCAAATGCTGCAAATTTTAAGATTTGATATCGAAACATAAGAAATCTCTTAAATGACCCATTGTATGCCGAACAGCTCCTGTGTACTGTGGAGCAGGTGAAGCTGCTGCCTGTAACACATCTCTCCCTCCCCCCTTCCCCTCGTCCCAACATTAACATTCATGAAGCCAGTGGAGTGTGGCAAGCCGCGCACATCAAGCCAACCACGAAGAGGTGGATGAGGGTGAGCGGGGGAGAGGGAGGAGGAAGATGGAGACCTCCTGAATGTGGTGGGTGAAAGAGGATGGGGGTGAGGGGCGGGAGGATGAGGCTGAAGGTTGCCCAGTGTGGGATGGTGGAAAGGTCAGCAGCCACGATGCCACGCCTGTGGTCATACATCACAATTATCACCGTGGGTCATTGACTGCTGTAGAAATTATGAGAGCAGAGGCAGGTCATCTCTGCGTGCTGGGCGGGAGCAGGCAAGGCCAGGTGAACTACCGTAACCGAGTATTGAAGTAAATGTCAGTAAAAATATGGTTCA